TCTTTCTCCACATTAAATTAATTAAAAAGGATCATACTAGATAAAAAGACTATATGCATAATCAAACACCAATTTTCATAAGAGAAACCTATTAATCTCTCCATAAGTCATTTATAGAATAGTACTTTATCCTCATTTGAGGCATAAATTCCCAGTACCGAAGTCTTAGTGGCATGCAAATTAACTTCTACCCCAACAAATCTACCATGCTTGTCAGTCAGTACAAGTTCTGGTTTTAGTTGGGGACTAATATACAGAACAACTCAATCAATCAATCAATCAATCAATCAATTTCCTTCCTTCCTTCCTTCCTTCCTTCCTTCCTTCCTTCCTTCCTTCTCTCTCTCTCTCTCTCTTTGCATCTGAAATAAATTCTTCACCCAAATTGTTATAAATCAAATATTTTAAATATTTTTTCTAGTATGTGTCTCGTGTAGGCAAATTATATCTTGATAAGATCCTCCTACAATCCTGATTAAGCCATTCTTTTCCCACTGCAAACATTTGCACATGGGTTAAAATTATCAGAAAGGGGAAACTTTCTCAAAATCTCAATGTTCACTAAAGTTGTCTTCCATCAAATTCTTTTGCTGAAGATGCTATCTCTTCCTTACCTCTGTTACCCTGTACACTGACTAGTATAAGGTCTATGTGCCAATTCATAAGAGTTAATTTTTGAAATATATGAAGCTTTCATCTGCTTTTATTACAGCAACAACTAATTTCCAATATGTAATATTAGCATTTGATAATTAGTGAGTTTTCCTACATGTTTGGTGTCTTTTTAATTCATAGATAAATAATAGTACAACATTTACTGCTGAGGAACTTTATGACTGCATTTCCCAAGAAATATACAGGTAAGCTTTTTTTTTTTTTTTTACAAAAAATAAAAATAAAAAAAGTAATACCAAGTGGTTCTTTCATAACCTTCCCATGCCACAGTCTATGCAAAATCTGTTCTTTTATCCTGTCACTTAGTGTTAACAAAATTTAAAAGTGGTTATAATTAAATAAGAATATTACATACTCCTGTCTGTACATGTTGTGTGTAAGTTTCCCAGGACTGTTTCAGAGAAGTAGTCAGTTTATTATTTTACGGTTCTCAAATAATCTGATTCCTTTCCAAGTTCATGATGTATATTGGCCTCAGTTAGCAAACAATTAGCAGCTATTTCTTTCTGTGCTGTTGTTTTGGAGCACTATAACTTTCTGAAGTTGAATCATTAAGAAAGAAAAGAGTGTCAGTGCAGCTTGAAGAAAATAAATGTATTCGGGAGAATATTTTTCTTTCCAAATTATTTGTTAGACTTTACTATCTCAGTCACAATGAAAACAAAATATGTAATTAAAAATATAGCAAAATAGGAAAATGTTCCTACAAATACATAAAGAGAAAGAATTGAAATCAGAACAGTACAGAATGTTTTAGACTTATGAAGGCTTTGCAAGAGTGTTGGCAATTGTCAGAAGAAAGGTTTTTAAATTAAAAAGGTCCTAAAAGTTACTCTTGTGATATTAGAAATTCCAAAGGTAAAAAGGATGTCTATACACTATGCATCTGTCACTTTTTCAGTTTTGATGGTGCCTTGAGCTCATTTCATTTGGGAAAGCTGATTTTCTGCTAGTGCTGTTTTCTAAAGTGTCTAACACCATCTCCTGATATAGATAAGGCTAATGCATGTCTCTACTAAGCAGCATTTCAAGATAAGGTGATATCAACAAATATTGTTCTAAAACTTTGGGTGGCCATGGTACTCAATCAATCAATCAATTCCATCCTAAAATATAATTGTTTTCTCAACCGTGCTGAAATTAGCTTTGAGGATTCAGGGCAGAAATCAGGTAGCCTAGCATATTACAGTCATATAATGCCTGAATAAATCTCTCCCTCCCATGTTTTCATCAGCTGTTTGGCTACAACATAGATAATACTGTAGCTTGATTTGATGGCATATCTGTAATGCTGAGTCTTGATACTTACTGAGATGAGGTTCAGGGCAAATAATTATCTTGTCAGGACAGACAAGGTTATTCAGTAGTAACTTGCAGATCCTGTGTTAAACTAATTTTAAGTCTGTCACTGGTTTATAATTTTGTTCTAAAATCACTGAAATGTAGCAGAGACTGTGCCCTATAACTTATATGATGGCGACTTCTATACTGATCACGTTATTGAATATAATAAGGCATTTTCACATGCTAACAAAACTGCAAGGGTAGTAATTGGTATTCACCAAAAGATCTCTTTTTCCACCAATGGCAAATCAATTTCTTTAAATCAAGCAAATGACTGACTTCACAGATTTAAAGAAATTAGTTTTTCTTTGATGAAAAAAGAGAACTTTTGGAAGTAAGTAAGGGCGTATCAAGTGAAAGAACTAAAAGTTTAACCCATTCTCTAGGCAAGAAGGAATGACCTTTAAGAATGGATTGAGGACCCCTTTTAATATAACTCATAAAAGGAAAAGAATCAGAAATATCCTTGCAAATACTGTCCCATAATTTATTTATTGTTTATTTGTTTAGCAAATGTATATAGGCGCCCATTTCACAAAAAGTGACTCTGGGCAACTTACAAGCAAAATAACAATTAAAACCATATCACAATATAAAAAATATCAGACATAAATAACAACAAAAATAAAAAATACAAACATAAAGGAATAAAACATAAAAGAACCCTAAATATATTTTCAGCTCCTTCCTAAACAATAATCCATTATGGCTACTTAATGTCTGTTATTACATATCTTATTTTGTTTAAAAAGCTATCCAATATATAGGGGATGGCCACTTCCACTTGAGTGGCAGTTTCATCCCATTTTTAATGAATCTAACATGTTTGCCTAAATAAATAAAATAATTTAATGCAGTCTGTAATTTTCTTGACCTGAAGTATGGGGTCTAGTAATAGTAATGTTTGGAAAAGAAGTTCAAGTTCTGGCAACAGCATGTAACTGGTCAAGCTTATGATTTTTCCATTCATCTAAACTGGCCTTGATTATCAGTAAGGTTGCTGGTTTGATGTTAATGTATTTTAGATTCTTTATTCTATGACTACAGTTGTGCTGTGCCATGTTGTCTGTCTTTAGGGAATAAATCTTGTTGTGTGCATTTATATATGGAACAGTAGTACCATTTTACCACATCTAAAACACCATGAATCGCTTCCTGTTCTAGAAGAAGCACTTCTGGAAAATGGCAGTCCACTCCATAACATCTAAATTGAAGCATTCTGAGAGAAAAAACAAACCACAGTGTTTTGCATACAACTAATTCTGACATTATATTAACACTTCTAAAAAGGTGGGAATGTGCTGTTTTGGGGGAGGGAAGTAATGAGTATGTGGAGATAGTTGCTCATTGGTGAGAGCTGCATTTTTTTATGCCTGGATGTATATTTCTACATAATCTTTCTAATGTAGGAATGGAATGCCAAATGGATGTCACCAGAATTAAAAAAGGAAAGGTGTTATGAGACCCAGAAAATAGTTTGTCTAACATATCTTTCACTATTGCCTACTTTACCAATGCCTTGAAAGGTACACTTTCTTGCTTTAACTATGAGAAATTCCAATTCCAAAGTGTACCGGATTATACTTGATGATTTTGAATCAATGCAGTTTCTGATACAAGAGTGTGTTTTGAATAAAAAAGTCAAATTGATACTGAAGCATTATTTCTTTTACAATCCAAGATAGTATATCCAATTATGTGATAATAAATTCCAAAGAAACGAACCATAATTAGCCCTCCCCACAAAAAAAAAAAAATGTATACAGTGGTAGACCAGTAGCCACTGATGAAAAAAGGCCAATACACCATGCAAAATAGCAAGACAACCTTGATTAAAATTTATCTCCCAGCGAGCTGGAAGCCTGTTGAAACTAAAATGGTGATTACAGCTTGGCAGGTGGCTGACAGGGTATATATGTGGGTCCTTCCTTAGGAGGGAGTATAAAACCCTGAGTACTACACTGTAAACCCTTCTCCTGTATCCTCATCCACTGCACTACAGAAGTTGGCAAGATCTGGAGGAGAAGGTTTCTTGAAAGATATGGTTAGCTTCATATTGAAAATGATGTTCCTCCGGGTAACTTGCTGCTTAGAGCTTTAAAGGCTATGAACAGCATTTTAAACCAATACTGAAAATGGAAGCCTTAGAAAAAAAGAATTCCACGCGTTTTAAAAAGCTACAGAAAGTCATAACTGAGAGGATTGGGCTAGGTTTAGTAATTTGCATCTTTTCTCCTCCTCCTCCCCAGAGCACGGTTATCAGTTGGATGTGGCCAACTAGTTCAGCTGGAACATACTATTAGACAGTGCTATGAATCTGTCTGTCTGGAAGTCAAGAACAGAGGATGGCTCTAAATTCTTCAATCAACTGAAACTTTTGAAAGGAGTGGTTTTCTTCTCACCAGGCAAAACATACTAGGACCCACCTACATAGAAACTTAGACCTCTGTAATTTATCAGTGTTTCTTGCTTTCTTAGCAGCTTTGTTTAAAGATCACACTTAAAGATCATACTTAAAGATACATTATGTTAAATCCATAGTTTGTCCTTGTATGTATGTATGTTTCCACTATCTGGAAGAAGAAGGAGTTAGAACTGGGACCATGGTGAAGGGATTTTTAAATCCCCCTGACAATGGTAGCTTTCACTCGTGATGTAAATCACTGCTTCAGTGGTGGAGTAATTTTTAAATCTTTATATTACCAATTCCCAGAGCAATACTCTTAACAATTAAAAGTATGAACTAATGACAGTGGCATACCACTACCCTTTCCCCTTCCCCAGCGTATGATAACTTCAAATTAAACCGTGCAGTCTTTTTTTTATTGTGAAGCCTGCAGGTGAATTATGCACACTCTACCAGCCCATTCCCTGCAAACAGTCTCAATACATAATGTCCACTGGTTTTGTAGCTGTCACAACCACAGTTTTTTGAAATGCCCTCTTCCTTCCAGGTCAGTCGCCAAAGGGCTCACTCAGAAAGTAAAGAGGTTAGGTGCCAAATGCTGTGGCATCTTCATTGGCTGTAGGAGCCATGCAATAACTACAGCCTTGGTCAAGAGACAGGGAGAAGGAAAACAGGTGATCTCAGTGGATGCTCATGGCAGGCTGAACCAAAGACTGGCTTGCACTCCTGTGCTTCACTGCATTGTAAGGTTCTTATATTAGGATAACATGGAACTCTTGTGGCAAATTATCTTCATCTACTCAGCATAACTAATTATCCAAGTAATTTTGGGGGCATTTGTGTAGGAAGATGTCCACACACCCAGAAATTCTGAGTAAATGTGCAAAAGATTGTGTTGCATCATCCAGAATAAACTAGGATTTTATAATTGCAAGCGTTTGTGCTACTTTTATAAGAGCAAAGTCCCCACCTGACTGGAAAGCAGCTTTGTATGCTAACCATAGGGAAAAGATGTCAGGGTTGGGAGGGGTTGCATTTAATTTGTGCCTCTTTTTATAGTACAAAAGTCTTAATCTATTTGCTCTTTATTGACTAATTCTGTTGCTACTCTGTTATTGTCATTTGATATTTTTAATAAAAGGGGAATCCATGCTATTGTAGATTCATTTCAAACATTTTAATTTCAAATTTAGATTAAAAAGAAGTTTTATATCCTTCATGTTGTCCAGAACTCCTCTGTACATGAGACTGCAAGGAAGAGGGAGTAGTAGGTTCATATAGCTGATTGTTTCACTTGAGGACCCATTTATGGCCGTATGTTCAGAACTTGTGTTATGAGATCCTAAGTATGCAAATAAATTAGTTACCCCCTTGATTTCTGCAGAGCTAAGTATTGTCACTCTAGAAATGCTTAATTACAGTTGGATCCCTGTGCTGACATGTCAGAGCATCCACTACATGTAACCTGGGTTAGAAACTGATAATGATTAGAGAACTAACTGTTGGTAAATGGAGGTAAATAAAGTCTTGAAGCTTATTTATAATATCTGGAATTATGAGGTATGAATAGTCAGGAGGAAGAGGAGCTGGGGAGTCAATTCTATTCGGTGGAAGAAATCCTAAAGATACCTTTCTGAAAGCAAGTCACATTCAACTAAATATGGCAAGACTCTGTAGATTGGAATAACATCCTAGACATATAAAGAACTGTATTGTAAACATATTAGGACCTAGTGCCTTTTACTACAATTCCCATTGCTCCAACCAGCACTGCCCATAGTCAAGAACAGTCAGGATTATAGTCCAAAGTATTAGAATAAGGCAGTATCTTGGGCAGCAACAGTTGTCAGAAACATGTACTATTGAGTGATGTACTATGAAGGGCCATTTTTCATTCATCCCATTATCCTAGATTGATCCTACCACTAGATATGACCATGTTGGAATTACAACATATATTTACAAAGATTGTCTATTTTTATAAAGATAGAAATGCATTGTATAGTAAAGATTCTGAAATTTTCAAAATAGGTTTTAGATTTAATTGCCCTGATAATCCATATATTAATATACTAATTTATGAGTGGTACTACTGGATGTTAAAATATGGAATATTCTCTTAGCATAATTTCTAGGAATGAGATCCAAATTTAAATCATTTTAAGCATAGAATCGACATTGTTATAAAATCAGTTGATAAAGATAGAAAATCTTCCTATGTAGTTCCCCCTGCTTAAAACCATTTATTCCATCTGTATAAGCATACCTGAAAGATATAATTTTTTTAAATATTAGAGTTATCAATTTTATGCACAGACTGGCATTATATATAGTTAGACCAATATTCCACAAGAAGAGGCTATGAAAATTACAGAATATATTCTGAGTAAAAGGAGCAATGCTTTCAGGACTTCCAATTAATTTTACTTGTTCTTTGACAGCGTCATTTTTTTCTGCTTTGAATACATATTATTGACAGAATTTTGGCACAGCCAAATTTTATGTAATTAAGGTCCTTGGAGAGTTTGAGATATTTCTTAATTTTCAGCAGCAGACAGTTGCATTTGTCTTGGGAATTGTGATCAAAAGCAATCCATTATTTAGATGTTCACACTCTAAAGATGGCTAGTCAATTCTTGTCTACCAATTCCACCTTCTCTAAATGTTAAGGCATTGGAGGAATTACAATATTTTAAATACATTTATTTAGCAAATTGATGTATTGAAGACTTAATTGCAGACAGTCCAAATTGGGTTATAAAACTAGAAGTACAAATAAGACAGAACTTCAGAAAGCCTTTCCCCTCCCTGAGAAATCATGCAGCAAACAAAAAGAATGGGTGTTAACGGTACAAATATTATTTGATGCATATTCTCGAAATGTGAAAGGCATTATTAAGCGTTACTATATTCTTTACAACACAATCCAGTTTGTCATCAAGCTCCCCTGTTTGCTCATAAATGGTCCAGATTTGAGGAATTTTTTGAGGGCAGTATGATGCCACATGAGTGGGAACAGACTATTCTATGGTTTTCTTGGTTTCTATGGAGAGGAAGGGTTTTTTTTTTTTCTTATTTTAACTCTGTTTAACCTATTTTTGGCTCATGATACAGGTTTTGAGGATTTCCCAACACAACATGGAAGAAAACCATGCCACAGTTTTTTTAAGCAAATGGGCTGGAGGTGGCTCCAGGAACTGTAAAAATGGAGCCTAACAACTCTGTATCTCAGGTTACCTACTCATGATTTAAAGGCATTTAATAAGGGGAAATGCAAGACATTGCAATGTAGAGAGGTGTATTGGATTTACATGTCAGATTTAGTAGCCTGAATTAGGGTTACCAGATAGCTGAACAGGCAATGGACAATTTGAAAGGAGGAGGACAAATGGGGGTAAAAGGAGGATACACTAACTGTTTAGCTTTCTCGGCATCCACAACAAACATTACAGTGAAAAACTGCAAAAAAAAAGTACTTAGGCCTATATGCATATGAAATTACTTTTCCAGCACCAGAAAGACTAGTTTTTCAATCCCAGGAACATGCTGAGAATCAGTTAGGAGGCAAAAGCTTTCAGCATATAACAGATTAAGGTCTTGTCAGTCTCCGGCAGCAGCTCAAGGCCAGAGGGTAATAATAAGGTGGCAGAGTGGAGCTTGTGAATTTGCATTAGCACTGACTAGGGAAGGACTGCACCAGGAAGAAAAGCTGCTTAGGGAAGAGATAGCTTAAAATAGATACTCAAAAAGCCAGACAATATTTGAGGTCTGGTAATCCTAGCTTGAATTGATTTAGACAAGAATATGAATTGATTCTGAGATACTTTCCATTTTCCTAGCCATTGTGCTTATATTTTTCGTTTCTAGTTTTTATTGTACTTTTGTTTTGAAGATGTGTGTTTTGATAATTGGTTAATATTATACTTTGTCTTAATGGTCATTTGCCATCAATTTGTGTATGAAGGCATGTCATGCAATTGAAGTACAGTTCGGGCTTTTATAAAACAACATATTTATACCCGAACTGTATTCATTTATTTGACCTGATGGGCAAGGCTGCCCATCCGTTGACTTGAGCCAGGTTGGTTTAGTGGTTAAGGCATCAGGCTAGAAAAGGGGGGACGGTGAGTTCTAGCCCTGCCTTAGACACAAAGCCAGCTGGGTGACCTTGGGCCAGTTACTTTCTCTCAGCCCTGGGAAGGAGGTAATAGCAAACCACTTCTGAACTCTTGCCAAGAAAGCTGCAGGGACTAGTCCAGGCAGTCACCAGGAGTCAACAATGACTTGAAGGTACACACAGATAAATACTGTATCATTGGCTTTCATTGGCTCATTCACTTGAAAGGAACATTTTATTACAATTCAGAGACATTTTTGATAAAATAAAACAGAATGGCCATGGGCAGGCAAAAAAGCAGTGGGAGCGGAAGTGACTTCCAACTTCCTGCTGGCTTCCCCATTGACTTTGCTTGTGGGAAGCTGGCAGGGAGCATCGGAAATCATTCCTTGGCTGACCCACAGAACTGCCTGCCACTTTGCTGGAGGGAAGGGAAACGAAGCTGCAGACCAGAAGGAAAATTGCACTCCCACTCCCCATCTTAGCATGGCCCCAAGGGTCCCCTCCAGGGAGGAAGAGTTGACCACCAGTGCCCCCCAGCCAGCCCTACCTCACCAGCAGGCATCCAAGTCACTCCCTCATCCTTCCTTCATCACCAACCGCTATTAAGAAATTTCAAATTTTGGCCTTGGTTCCAAAACAGCCACTCACCTGTTGGGCCTTGCCGCCAGCCAGTCGGGCACGGGAGCCAGAGGGAGGTGAGAAAGAACAGAGATACACCCTTCCCATTTTCTTTGCACCACACAACCTTCGGATTTCTGGGAAGTGTAGTCAGAAGGTGCGGTGGCGCTGAAGCAGCCACAACTTTGCCAAATTTCAATCCCACAGGAGTAACAGGACCTCTATTTTGGACTAATTCTTTAAGCTAGCCCATTTAAGGTACGTTGATTCAAAAATTGTTGCCTTATAATGCACTGTTTTGCCCAGTTGAAACAGACAAACACTGAGAGTTTAGTAGTATACCAGAAAACCCATGACCTGCTGGGCCATTCTTTCAGAGATATTTCCTTACCTAAACAGAGAAACAGAATGACCATGGGGAGATTGCTATTGTTTTGGTTTTAAAATTAAAGAAGGAAACATCAGCTTATTAAATAAGAAAGATGTGTTGCAAGAGAAATATAGATGCTTTTCATTTAACAAAGGACACTTTTGATGACAACATTTGTGGTTGATCTGCCATTCTTTAAGAATAATGTTTTCACTTCTTTTTCCTCAACTTAAAGCAACATACAGCTAACCATGCTGGAATACTGGTTTCTTCAGATAAATCAGTACATTCTCCATGGTTTGTCCTTGCGCTTTATGTATAGTGAGAGCAAAGCATGACTGTATTGGGAACAGCTGAAGAGGGACATCTTCACCTTCTGATAAATTCAGCGTAATTTTTGGAATCACGACAATGTCATTTTTGAATGCATCTGTGTTTATCTTTGCTACAATGAGATTCTTGTGGAGTTCTTCCACAGTCATCTACATTTGATTGCAAAGCCTTGGAAGATCCAAGTTCCTCATTAAAATGATAGGAGATCCTATCTTCAATTCCAGCTTATGTGGTGGCAATCCAGAGAGTTTGAGTGAATCAAGGAATTCTGTTGGAATATGAGTGGCATTAGCTCCTTCACTGATGGCATTGAAGGAACAATACTCTTTCATCATTCCAGGGAAGTGTCTAATGCATGTGGAATTGATTTTTCTCATTTCATTAAGGGAACCAAGATAGAGTTCTTTGAGAAGAGTTCTGCAGGATTGTCAAATGTCAGGTAGATTAAACCTATACATTCTTCCATAGTTCTTCCTGGCAGAACCATATATCTTCAGGCAATTCCACTTCATCATTTTGATTTTTCTGAATCTTGTCTTCTCCAACATCCAATAAAAGCTCAGGATATCTTCCTTCTCCCTCACTTAACCACATGCTTCTCTTCAACTGAAACTTGACAAAGCTTCCCCATAAGTATGATTTTTTGATGCATGAATTTTCCACACCAGAATAATTTCCTCTTCTCACAACTGGTAGAAACTGACGGAAATCAAATGGT